ATTACCAACTTTACCAATTTTATGTTTCATTAATTTCATCAGAATATAAAATCTTTACTAAGTTTTTACCTTTAATAAAATTTTATTAAATTTTTTTATTATTTAAATAAGTTATAATTTATTTAGTAATCTTAATTAGATGCTTTTAATAAAAATTTATTAAAATTAAAAAGTTTATTAAAAGTTTTGAAAAAATTTTAACCTTTTAATAAATTATGTATATTACAAGCTTTAAATTAATTTTTCATTTTATTAGAATTTTTTATTAAAAGATTTTAATATTATTTTTTAATTATAAATAATTTTAAATCTTATTTATTATATTTTATTAATTACATATAATACTAATAAAATAAATAAAGTATTATTACATTTAAAAGTTATAGTATATTATAACTATTTTTATAGGTATATATATTTTCCCTTTATATCATATTATATTATATTCCTTAAGTTTCTATTTTTACTATTTATTCAAAGAACTTAATTTTTTTTGAGTGGTGAAATCTTATTTATTATATATATCTATTTATCATAATTAGAGTTAGTGAGTTTAGTTTAGAGTTAATTAGGGTTAGTTAGGGTAATTAAGGTAAAGTATTAGCATATTATTATAAGAAAAATACTGATATCTTCTAATATAAAATAAAAATATTCTAAAAGTTATAATATTAAAACAATAATTATAAAAATTGATAATTTATTTGTATATTATTAAAAGCAATTACTATTATATCAATAAAATTAATTAAAATTAATAAACTTAATAATTATATAATCTATTATAAGGTAGTAATGTGCATTAGAAAAGTAAAAGTTATTTGGAATTTTCTAATTTCAAATTTTTCAATATCAATAGATTTTTATCAAAAGATTAAAAATACTTAAATATATAATTTATATAATTATTTTTAAATTTAAATTATGTAATTTTATTAAAATCTGACATTTATTTATTAAACCTTAAAAAAATATAAAAATTTCAACTATAATTTTAAACAATTTAAATAAATAATAAAAAATATAAAAATTTATTTATATCTTAAACAATTTTATTATAAAGTTTTTAATTTTTTTATTAATTTAAATTTATATTAATTATTCATTAATATATACAAATTTTTTGAAAGAAATTTTTTATAAAAAAAGTTTTCAAAAATCTTTAATTATTATACAAGTAAAAAGATAAAATATGCTTATTTATTTATACTAGAAATTATAATATTTAATTTTAAATATTTTTATAATTTCTATTAAAACTTATTAAGATATAAATATAATATTAATCTTTATAAACTATATAATTATAAATATAAATCAGAAATTATATAATCAACAAATTTTTATGCAATAAAAATAATACTGATTATTAATAATATAAAATAGTTTTTTATATAAATATTTGATAATACTAATATAAAAATATAAAAAATAACTACTTATACTTATTGTAAAAAGTTTATATTAATTTATTAGATCTTAAAATACCATTAATAAAAGTCTAATTAATACTAAAAGTTAGATTATCTGTATTGCATATTAAAATACAAAATAAATAAATTATTAAAATAATAAATCTATAACTGAAAGTAAAATATAACTAAAGTTCTAAATAATTTAATTTAATCTAGATTAAAAGCTAATATAAATGTGAACTAAAAATTTTAGTTTAATTCAATTTAGATTATTAATTTTAAAAATGCCAATCTGAATTTAAACTAACTATAGACTGATAAATTCCTGAATTGAATCAAAATTTTTAAATTAATTTAAAAGTTTAATTTAATTATATATGAATTTTAAAAGAATCTATAATTTATATACAAAAATTTTAGAAAATTTGCAATCTTATTATAAATTTTAAAGAGAATTTATAAACTCTAGAGTTTTATAATATTTTTATAAACTTTAAAGAATATTTGTAACTTTTATGATTTTTTAAACATTTTATAAAAAATTGCACTTTTTGCAAAAAAAGTGTAATCTTTAAAAAGAATTTGCAAATATTTACATTTTTAAGAGTTTATAAAAAAGTGTGATTTTTTAAAAAATTTGTAAAAGTTTGTAATGCTTCAAAAGTTTACAAAAAAATTAGTTTCTTTAAGAATTTGTAATATTTTTACAAATTTTTAACTTTTTTTACAATTTTAAAGTTTTATAATTTTGTTAACTTTTAAAAGAAATTGTAAAAATTATAATTTTTTAAAAATTTTGTAATATTTCAAAAGAATTCACAAATTTTTTTGTAATTTTTTAAAAATTTTATAATATTTTTGTGAATTTCAGAAATTTAAGATTTTTTTATGATTTTTTAAAATTTTTGTATATAAATTAAAGAATTATATATAATTAAACTGATTAATTTGAAATTGTTAGTTTGTTTGGATTAAAATTATAATTTGAAAAAAATTTAAATTAAGTTAAAAATTTTCAGATTGATTTTTATATAATTTAAAATTAATCTAAATCAATCTAAATCAAAATATTTTAGATTAACTTAAATTATTCAAAATTTTAAATATAACAAATGTTTGGAATAAGAATAAAAATAATTAAATATATCAATTAATTGTAATATGTAAAAATTATTAAAATTTCAACTAAAAATATTATTATTTTTACAAATAAAAGTATTTTTAAATATACAATTTAAATAAAAAAAAATTAGTAATTATTGAACTTAAAGTATTATATTTAGTTAAATATTTGTAAAATATATATTTATGATTATTTTTAAATTTAAAATTTGGTAAAATAATTTATTTTCATTAAAATATTGATATTTTTTATTTATGTAATATTTATAAAAAAGGTTTTACTAGATGTTTTGTAATAGAAAGGATGGAAACTATCAAAAAAAATTTTGAATTAATATTAAATCTGGATTATTTTACTAAAAAAGAATATTTAGCTTATAAGTAAAAAAATTTTATTAATGGTAAAAACTTAGTAAAGATTTTATATTCTGATGAAATTAATGAAACATAAAATTGGTAAAGTTGGTAATTAGTAACAAATTTTTTATTTTAATGTTATCTAATGTGTGTTACACCACTTGCTTTATTAATGGAAACAAATATAGCAATGACCGACAATGCTATTTTTTTCATTTAAATAAGTTTTTCCATCAAAAAAAAAGGGAGAAGATGAAACATTCTATTTTGCTTATTCTGGTTTTCGCAGGTTTGACGAGATGTGCTTTAATTCCCAACAAGAGAGTTATTGTCTATAATGATGATCATGACGATTATACTTTAGTAGAGGGAGTTCCTTATAATATTGTTCATTTGAAGTCCCGTATGAATTTAAATGGTGACAATTATGATGTTGATGTCAAAAATTCAAATTCGTACTGGTCCATTCAGAAAGCTTACGATAGTCTATATAACATCATACATTTGAATTCTTGCAGAAATTTAGACAGTAATATTCACAAAGTTTATACCAGCACTCCCGAATATGATAACCATTATCAACATTGGGAATTCACAAAGATTAAGAATGATACATATAACATTAAGCATCCGATTTCTCAATCTCGGAGTTTAGATAGCAACGGTTATTCGGTATATCTTGGAAACGAGTACAAGCACTACAATCCTTTTCAACAATGGTCATTTGAACCAGCAAATTATAATTTGACCGCTTTAGTGACTGAATTTTCGTACCCCCCAGATCTAAAAGATCAACTGAGTCGGTACAAAAAACGTACCAATCTTTTACTTGGTAATATTACAATCAAGAACCCAACAAATGCAACAATAACAACAACAATTGATAGAATTGAAAAAAAATTAAATAGTTATACCGTGGAGATTAGGAAGGCAGAATTCCTAGGCAAGAAAGTTAGCAATCGACTTAGTATTTTTTTTCATATAAATGCGATTGTATACGAGTGGTTAGGAATAAATACAGGTATAGATTGGAATAGTGAGGCTGAGAAACAATTTGTTTCACAATATGAGGAGATATATAGAGAAACCATATCAGAAGAAGTTACATATGGGATTAAAGAGCAAATTATGGTACCGCCTTTTAATTCAATAGAATTTGGGGCTACTATAGATCAGATTACTGTTGACATTCCATTTAATGCAACCATTCGAATTACCGGCAAAGCGGACCGACTGGATGAGTATGGAAATGTTGTTCCAATGACTGATGTTGATATTGATGCGCTTAAATGTTATCTTCAGAAGGAAAATTACAGTATTATAAAGGTAGTAGCAGAAGAAAATTCCCTTATAGTCAGTACGAATGGTACTCTGAAAGTAGATGGATACGGATTGGCTTCAACGATTGAAACCAAGCCTATCTTTCATGATAATCCTCCGGATTCTAACGATCCCCCTACGGATTTTGGCGATATCCTTTGGCAATACAGACAATTTATTTATTTTGCAGGTGCTTTTGTTATTTATAAATTCGGTAGAAAATTTTTCGAAAACCGAAATTACGTTGAAATTTGAATTATGTATATTATCAGTACTTTTGTTTTGTATATTGTATTATCATCAAGACTCTTTACGTGTTTTTGGAGCCAAAAATAAAAAAAAAAAATGTCCTAAGATGTGATTTTATTTACGAATTTATATTTCTAAATTTTATGTTCATAATCTCTACTAGTTTTAATTGAAGTATGATTCTCATCAAATTCTTCGAGAACCTTTTCAATCATTTCATCATAATCATCATAACTTAAATCATCTACGAAATCAACGATGGGGTTTTTATAACTTGTGAATAATCTGGAATAATGGGAATTGATCTATTAAAGGAAGAAAAAAAAATTAGTTTATTTCAATTGCGGAAAAAAAAAAAAAAAAATTCTAAAAATATTTGTTTAAATTATTTACCAATTCACCAATTCTTCCGGGCATTCCGAAATAAAATCTTATTTCTTCATGTTGAATGTTGCTATTAATTCTAACCTTGTATGCAATATAGGGATCTATTCCTTTTAGATTCATACAATTTGTGCACTATTGAATTATAATGATATGTAAATGAAATTATAGTAATCCATTTATTATATTACTCTTTGAAATCAGGTGCTGCATGGATACTTACTATACGAGATCATCGGTCACCTTCAGGACCACCATTCCAGAATTTATCATCAAACTCCATGAGCTTAAAAAAGAAAAAGAATATTCATCTGTGTGAATTTTTGTTTCATTACACGCAATCAAAGATATTGTTTTCAAAAGGTAATCCAATCAAGGTATCACATTGATAAAAGTTAAGATTCTTTGGTTTGTTTTTTGGTTCAGGAATGGGTAAAATATCGGTACCAAAAAATTTACAATTTCTATATTCTTTTGCCATATCCATTAACCAAGGCGCGGCGGGATGGCAGCCAGCGTCAAGAACTTTTGCACCACCTGCATTTAACAAATCTTCAACTGGGGAAGAAAAATTATTTTGCCATGTCGATTTAAAAATTTCATGAGATGCGATCGTTCTCTCCTTTTCATGAGTTTGCTAATGTAAGAAATGCTAGTGAATTTTTTGAACTTTCAACGGCTTCTTCAATATTTGCTTTTCTTGTTATTTCAGGCATTAAAAATGTGCGTTGCTGCACGAACTTGTGTTTTAAACCTTTAAATGTTTACAAACAATAATCAAAAAGACGTGAAAAAAATCATTTATATTGTTCTTTTCCTTTGAAGTTATTTTTATCCATGAGAATCTCCGAAATCCAATGAACTTTATGGTTTTTTTCTTACGGCAATTTGTCTTGTATATCTAAGAGATGTAATGCATTATTTTTTTTATCGAAAAATCTTATGGCTACGGCAGTATATTGAATCACGAGGATAAAATATGATGTTTCTTTGTCGTTATTTCGCATACAATTTAATATTGTTTATTTGCTTGTTAAATTCAAAAAAAAAAAAAAAAATCTTTTTTTTGTGATTATCGTCAAATCGGCGAGTAATTTGCAGTTGCAAGCTTGAACATATTTTTTAGGTAGGCTACAAAAATTATAACGCGACATATGAATCTGAAAAACGTAAGGAAACGCGCCAAAACCTGCAAAAACTCATGTTTCGAAGGCGTTACGACTTTGGCACGCTTCAAATGTCTCGACGATTTCCATACGCACACATCGACGTTCTATTTGATAGGAGAAGGCGTTAGCATAAACCAATTGTTTGTCATATCCATGAAAGATGAGATATCTTTTCAAAACGTTGAGCATCTCTTTTGTAGGTTTGTAAATCCCTTACATTTTGTCCGGATGTCGGATACATAAGAGATTTCTTTTATTAATTATTCTCGATTCAAAGTAACTAAGAATTAAAATGTTAATTTTTGGGTTTTTAAAAACATAAATTTCGATAAATTTAAATTTTATGTAACCATGTGGGTAAATCAAATTTGTAGAATAAGTTAAAAAATACTTTTTCCTTGAATGATTTGATATATGCGTGTGTATTCGTTATCCTTTGAAGATAATATAAACTATACATTATAACTTATAATGGAGATGAATCATTACCAAAATGGCAAAAATTTCTATTTTATAATATAGTTTTTTACGATCTAAAAAATTTATCATGAGAAAAAAGAAATGTATGCAGCATTTTCGTCCAATGCGATTTCCGAGTCAGATTTGGTAAATTAAAATAACCTCAAGCTCCCCGATAAGCTTATTATCCAATGAAGTTAATATTAATCATTAATAATTGGAGCTGTTTACAGTCAAATAAACTCTGGTTAATTATTTGGCGATTACTAAAAATAATGATAAAATGACATCAAATTTACGTGAAAATCCTCTATCATGATTTCTTTTTTTGTTATTTTCGATTCAATGGAATCGGTTTTTCCCAAAAAAAATTTGAACATTCGAATTCATAATGGAAGATAAATTGCACGCTTTTTTAAATTTCATAATCTTGCGGATCCTGTTTTAGTAACGATATTCATGCAGTGTAATAAAATGATGAGCTTTGTGTAACTTCGTATCTCGAAATTTTAACGGTCGAGACATGGTTATATATGGTGATGTAGTATGCGACCAATGAAGTAGCCTAGCGTGAGAAAATGCTTAATGAGAACAAGTTTCAAGATGTAAAATCTTCTTTGTTATTTTCACATCCGTTCGCTTCAATGGAATTGATGTTTTCCAAAAAAAATTTGAACATTCGAATTCATAATGTGCACGCTTTTTTAAATTCACAAGTTTGCTTGCGGATCCTGTTTTAGTAACGATATCCATGCAATGTAACACAATGATGAGCATTGTGTAACTTCGTTTCTCGAAATTTTAACGGTCGAGACATGGTTATATATGGTGATGTAGCGACCAATGAAGTAGCGTAGCGTGAGAAATGCTTAATTAGAACCTGTTTTAGTAACGATATCCATGCAATGTAACACAATGACGAACATTGTGTAACTTCGTTTCTCGAAATTTTAACGGGTCGAGACATGGTTATATATGGTGATGTAGTATACGACCAATGAAATAGCCCAGCGTGAGAAAAAATTAATGAGAACAAGTTCCGATGTAAAATCTTTTTTTTTTATTTCCACATCCGTTCGCTTCAATGTAATCGGTGTTTTTCCCAAAAAAAATTTGAACATTCGAATTCATTATATGCACGCTTTTTTAAATCCACAAGCTTGCCTGCGGTTTTAGTAACGATATCCATGCAATGTAACACAATGACGAGAATTGTGTAACATCGCATCTCGAAATTTTAACGGTCGAGACATGGTTATATATGGTGATGTAGTATGCGACCAATGAAGTAGCCTAGCGTGAGAAAATGCTTAATGAGAACAGGTTTCAAGATGTAAAATCTTTTTTGTTATTTTCACATCCGTTCGCTTCAATGGAATTGATGTTTTCCCAAATAAAATTTGAACATTCGAATTCACAAGCTTGCCTGCGGATCCTGTTTTAGTAACGATATCCATGCAATGTAACACAATGATGAGCATTGTGTAACTTCGTTTCTCGAAATTTTAACGGTCGAGACATGGTTATATATGGTGATTTAGTATACGACCAATGAAATAGCCTAGCGTGAGAAAATGCTTAATGAGAACAAGTTCCGATGTACAACTGGTTTGTTTTGGAAAAACTTATAAATGAGTTCATATATTTGGATAAATACAGGTGAGAAATTGGGAGATTATTTTTTTTTTTCAAGATTAAATTGGTTTGTAAATAATATTATTCCTATTTATTTGCCGTCTCAGACTGAACTTCGAATTAGATTGTCGTTATGGATCTGAAAAACAATAGCGTCTTTCTGAGCTTTACAAAACAGTATCAGTAACCACATTCAGTGTCATAACTACATCTGGTTTTGTCATAGTTAGTATCGAGGCTTATTTCATAATATATTCTCGATAAGTCCTTTTCAGGATCAGATGACTTAAAAATTAATTGATTTCGGATCAATCGATCTCCATTCTTGTTCCTTTAACGGTATCCTACATGTAAAATTCTCGAAGTTAGTGACAACCATCAGCTTATACAAAAAATAGTTCAGATAAAGAAAATAGTTTATCTATTTTGTTGTATCCAATTCGTTTAAGAATCAGAACCGAGTTTTTTACAAATAGTCGAAAGTTTCTTTGCAAGTTGTGAACGGTAATTCCAATAAATGCAGAAAATAATTAGCCAGATCTACAGATAATCCTACACAATTTAACCATTATATCAAACAAATTTTATTGGAAGTACAAGAATTATTTGGATTTGGAGCATTAGGATTTGAAGGAGACAAAAATACTTGAACAATTAATTGTAGATATTCTTTTTTCTTTTTTTTTTTTTTTTTTAGAAAAACTATCAATAATAGTTTATGGTTTTAGGTAGTGCATTTGCATTGAATTCGATGTTTACAAAGTTGTTCAACCTGTATAAATTAATCGACATTTCTTAAAACAGGGAAAATATTGAGAGGGTTAGTTTAAAAAGTGCAAAATTTGCTTGTTAATCATAATATTCAACCATCAGTCCAAGGACAAATCATATAAACTATCCAATGTGTCAATCAAGTGCGCATGGAGAGAGAGTGTTTGATCACCAACATACCGTGCACACCATTAACACGACACGAAACCAAAAAAAAAAATAAAATAAAATAAAAGCACTCATGTAACTCCTTGTTTTTTTTTTTTTTTTAAAAAAAAAAAATTTATTTCATCATTGAGAATTTGAACAATCTTGAAAAAACATATTTAAAAGTTTACATACATAACGATGAAGCTATCAAATTTAAATTCATTAATGCTTACGGTATCATTCCTTACGTTCTCGTCGGCACAAAAAATTCTTGATGCCTCTCCATTAATCACATCATCCAATTCAGAATTCGGAGGAGCAATTGAAGGTGCATCAGTGGATGTGAATGGGAATATTTTCGCAACAAATTTTGACGCAAAGTTATTCAATGTTGGTAGAATTACACCATCACAATCTCTTTATCATACTTCTACATCATTGGGAACAAAATTCAATGGTATAAGATTCATTCCATTAACAAAATCGCAAGTTGATCAAGGTATTAAAAGTGTAGCATTTTTGGCCAATGTAAATGAAAATCAAATTGCGAAAATCGTTGAAGACAAGGATGGCAAGATCGAACAAAGCTCATTCTGTCAAGATCAAACTTTATCCTTACCAAATGATGTAGCGTTTAGTTATTTACATGATAAAATTTATATCTCTGCACAAAATTTTACTGAAGATACCGTTATAGGTGATGGAGGTTTATGGATCTGTGATGGTAAAAGTGGTGAAACGATGAAACTTGAATCATTTGGTAGAACAAATGGTGTAGAGGTGTCTCCTGACGAAACGACTTTATACCTTTCGGAAGCTTTTAATAAAGATGCTAAAGTGATATCAAATAAAATTTGGAAATTTGATATAGATCAAAGTACGGGAAAAGTATCTAATCAAGCACTTTTCGTGGATTTTGAAAAATTAGATGGTACTCAAGCGATTGATGTTGATGGCATGAGGACCGACATTGATGGGAATTTGTATGTCACGAGACACGGTGAAGGTCAGGTTGTAGTATTTTCCTCTAAAGGTTCAATTATATCTAGAGTGAAATTAAGTTCTATTATCAAAACTACCAATTTGGAATTTGGCGGTAAAGATGGGAAAACTTTGTTCGTTGTTGGCGCTTGTAAAGATGATGATACGAAAGGTTGTGTAGACACCGTTCAAAATGATGTACTCGGTAGAGCGTTTTCTGCTTTAAAATCTCTAAACGGAAAGAGATAGTGAATAGATTTTAAGAATTAGCAAATTCAATGATTTATTTATTAGATTACTTGTAATTTTAATGAAATTTCGAACTCAATAAAGCAAAGGAATAAGAGAAACTTTCATTTTCGAGAGAAAATAAAATTATATACATGATGATATAAACGCCAACCGGCGGCTTTTAAATTATAAAAAAAATAAATATACATATAGCAAATTCAATGAATTATTTATTAGATTACTTGTAATTTTAGTGAAATTTCGAACTCAATAAAGCAAATGGAATAAGAGAAACTCTCAGAAAATAAAATTATATACATGATGATATAAATGCCAACCGGCGGCTTTTGAAAATGTAAATGATAAATATAAATTAAATATACATATAAATTTATACATGAAAAAAAAATTATTGATAAATTTTTGAGTAATTAAAAAGGGGGCGGGTTAGATGGGACAAAATTTGAAAAGGAATCGGGTATAACGATAATCCTGAAGCCGGGGATGTTAAATATGAAAATTCCAGGAGGAGAATTAATCGTCGTGTTAGAGATATTATTATTACCAGTCAACGGTGGGTTTTGGTGCTCATTAGCATGATTAGCATGATGATGATACATAGCAGGGTAAAATTGAGTTGAAGGACTATAGTCCATCATGGGTTGTTGGCCAACATTTCCTTGGTAAGGTGTTGAGAAGGTATTACCAGGATAACCATTCGTGTGGCTGTAAGCATCATCATTAATATTTGATGAAGAATCGTTATAAGTTGATGTTTGCAAATTGGAATAATTATTGTTATTTTGTGGGTGATTATTTTGTGACATGGTTGTTGTTTCATGCAAATGCGTTAATATATTGTGGTAATTGGAAAATAAACGCACATTTATACGAAAAATCGTGGTCTATCACACAAATAAAAAACATGTAAAAAAATAAAAATAAATTCAAAGATATTCATCTTGGCATCTACTCGGACCGTCAAACTTGGCAATAGAATAATTGTCATTCATGTTGTTTAATTCTTTGTTCCTAAGAAAAGACTAAAAATATTACCTACCTATTTCCGATAAAGGATTCCTCAATTTGACACAGGAGGAAAAGTCATGAGATATAAATTAGATAGGAATAGTCGAAAAAGGAAAAGACAAACAAATTATCTCGTAGATTGCTTTGTTCATATTACCGTTTATGTCTTTGCAAAAGCCAATATTTCGGCTATATATTTATTACCATGGAAAAGTATCCAGCCAAGCCTTGCTGAAACATTTATTTGTGTTACGGTGTATTACATTTTAACTCAAAATGGCCTAAATCCAGAAGTTTATTCAAAGGGAATTTTCAATTTTATTTATTATTTATTATTGATATACTGAATTGGTTAGCACAAATGTAGTATCAAACAGGAACAAATTTCAGGAAGATTTTCTGATAATGTTTGGTTGAAAAGAACTATTTTTATGTAGGGCTTTAAATTTTGAAAGATTTACTAACCAATCTTGTAATTCCTGTTCTGGTTAGTTGGAATAACCGCAAAATTTTTGGATCCAACAACTGTTCCGCTAACCAATTTCGATTTCTTGCCAATCCAGGACTTTTTGTATCACATATCACGAATTTTAGTAAGGTTTCTATTAGGGTACGCGATCTGACATGATTTATCCTATATTGGACATAACCGTAAACAATGAATTTAAGGTAATTTAACAATGAAAATATTACTATATGTTACACCAATTCATCTTCTTGCTAAGAATGGTGATATTTTTTTCAAAATCCCGAAAGATTCCGTTCCCCGAAACCTAATTTGGAAAATTCCATAACTTAGACAATCTTACATACATACTTCAAATCCATTTGTGGTTGTTACTTATATTTCTACCTTGATTTAGTTCAAAGTTTAAAGATTGTCATGAAAACCCCTTATGGAAGGGTATATAAAAATCTGCATAATATGGTCCAACATAAAGAACCATATTTATCGAAAGATACTATACGAGTTTTTTTTTAAAAAAAAAAGCCAAGTTGAAAAACATTCGACACTTTGATTGGAATTGGATAATTTTAAAACATGAGAACAATTTCTTTTATAAAATAAATGTGGCTTGTTTTGCATAAATAAGAAATCTATTTATACAAAATATTCATACATCTTATTAAAATATTTATTAATTTAATAGTTGTAACCTTTATTGGGGATTTCCGATTTCCATCTCATTTTCAATAATTTAATTCAATTACTATTTTTAATAGATGAATGTGTATTACCAAAAACAAAACACGACATTGGCGTGCAACCCAAAATTAGGGATAAAATGAATCTTTTTTTTTTCTTTTTTTTTTTCTTTTTCTTTCCCCCTTACAATTCAATTTCAACTTTTTTTTTTTAATTTTTTTGATCCTTATTTTTTTTTTTTGAAAATTGGCTTCATTCACATTTTTTTTTTTTAAAAAAAAAAATAAAATAAAATAAAAAGATTCTAATTTATTTTTTAACGAATATGAAGTTACTAAATTTGAATTCATTAATCCTTGCGATATCGTTCCTCACGGTTTCATCGGCACAAAATAACCTTTACGCAACTCCGTTCATCACATCATCCACGTCAAAATTCGGAAGAAGAATCGAGGGAACGGCGGTGAATGTGAACGGGGATATTTTCGCAACAAATTTCGATGCAAACTTATTCGAGATTGGTAGTATCACACCATCACAATCGGTTTATCATACATCCTCATCACAAAAATCTTTTTACAATGGTATAAGGTTCATCCCATTAACGAAAACTCAAGTGAATCAAGGTATAAAGGGGGTAGCATTATTGACCAATGTAAATGAGGATCAAATTACGAAAATCGTTGTACAAAAAGATGGTTACGTTAAACAAAGTGCCATCTGTAAGGATAAAACGTTATCGTTACCAAATGATTTAGCGTATACTTACAAAACTAATCGAATATATATCTCGGGACAAAATATTACCGCGAATACCGTCAAAGGTGATGGGGGTTTATGGGTTTGTGATGGTAAAAGTGGTCAATTGATTGAGCACCTACCATTTGGACGAACGAATGGTATAGAAGTGTCACCTGATGAAAGCAATTTATATATTTCGGAAACTTTAAATAAAGATTCCAAAGTGGTATCCAATAAGATTTGGAAATTTGACATTGATAAACGTACGGGAAAAGTATCTAATCAAGTACTTTTCGTGGATTTTGAAAAATTAGATGGTACTCAAGCGATTGATATTGATGGCATGAGGACCGACATTGATGGGAATTTGTATGTCACAAGACATGATGGAAGTCACGTCACCGTGCTTTGCCCTCTAGGCAAAATTTTATCCAAGATTAATTTAAACTCTATTCAAAAACCTACCAATTTGGATTTTGGTGGTAAAGATGGTAAAACTTTATTCATCGTTGGTGCTTGTAAAGATAATGGTACGAAAGGTTGCGTAGAAACCATTCAAAATGATATACCTGGTAGAGCGTTTACCGCTTTAAAATCTCTAAATGGGAAATTTAATTAATATTGTAATATATTTTATGGGATAGAATTCAATTCTAAATTCCAAACTTGTAATTAATTTATTTATTTAATCAAAAAAAAAGAATATTTTAATAAAGAAATAAGGAACTTTTTTTTTATATTGGTACAGTTATATAACGAATTCGATCACTTAATAAATTCTTCGTTTACATATAAAAATCGTTACCAAATTTATAAATTTTGGTAAAACGATTTTTTATAAAATGCATGAACTTTACACGAGGTTTTGTACCGCAACAATGAACGTAAAAGAATGATTATCAAACAATATGAAGACATCCAGGGAAATGTGGTGTTTGAGGTAAATATAATGATCACATGTAATGTCAAAACGAGGAATAGCTATTAGTTAAATTTGTTTATTTTGAATAATGCATTGATATGTACAAATTGGGATTATAATTGATTTTTTCCTTTCGAAGAATGAGGGTGCTTATGATGAACCGGGTTTCTCCGTAAGTATCATTTGATTGGACTTCAAATACACAGAAATTCAAAAATCGATATCAAAAAATTTAAGTTCGATAACTCATTACTGGAAAGATTTTCAAAAAAAAAAACATTTAATCATTATGATGTAATTAACAAATACATTGATTATTGTTATTTTTGATTTGAAACATTCTATATATTTTTTTCATTGCAGGACAAAAAGATGCTATAATGATAAATATCACATTACTTTCTGTCCTACCCTACTTATGCATATTTCATTATTTTTTAAACCCAATTAGCCCAAATTTTTTTTTTTTTCCCAAATCAAATGAATTGACCCGACAAATTTATATTTCATCATTTTTTTTTACATCATGATATCACAGGTTGAACGTTTGGGAAATCATTATGATAATCCTAAAATTTATTAATATAATTTATTATAATGCAATGTTTATAACATTATCACTGAGGCCATAATTCATCATCGTTTACGCCAGAAATAAGAATTTATCAAAAAAAGCATAGGCTATTTAGGAAAAAAAAAATAAAAGCCAACATATTTTGAGGCTCATCTTTTTATACTCTCAAAAGCAAAAAAAAAAAATCAATATGGGTAGGCCATGGTCTATTAGTGTACGTACTGTATATTTTTACATTGATCAATTTTTTTTTTTACTGTTGTTTTTTAACCTTTTTTTTTTCTTCTCTTCAGGAAGAAGGAAAACTTTCCGAGTTCGTCAATACTAAAAGGTGGGATCTGATCGCATTTGAACTCGGAAGAACCCCTTCAGAATGCAGAAAACAGTAATACACGCATTTATTTTATTTTCGCTCATTTTTTTTTTTTTTTTTTTTTTTTCCAAAAATTTTTTTTCGAAATATTTACATAAAAAGAAAAAATTTTCCTTTTCGCAAATAAGTTATTATGCGCTTAATGGTAAAAATACGTTATCACCTTTATGTTATATGTTTTTTATATGCTTCTGATTGATTTTAAAATAAATTTTTAAATTTTGCAGAAGCGCAAATACCTCGTAGAAATAGAAATCTACGTGTTCAACGAAATCTTCAACCTCTTAGGAACCGTCAAATGTATGGTTTCTTTTTTGTTTACATGAATATGACAATGCGTCGTTTATCAATTACTTAACTCGTATCAAAATGATCACTTACGCTAAATGCTAGAAATAACGCGGATCCTGTAACTTTAGCAATACCTCGGCGATACCCTAAACTTTCAATCAACTACATTTTGAATCGTGATATCAAAATGGAAATCAAGTATCTTTTAAATCGTTAGTTAATCTTGACATGCATATGACGGTCGAAGATCAAGAAAAAATTTTTGAACCTTCCCTTCCCCCCCCCCCCCCCCCCCTTCCTCCCAATATTTTTTTCTTTTTAAAAAAAAAAAGAGTTGTTCAAATATAGGGTGAGTGCCGAGAAAAGGAACCAAATTGTAACATTTTTTTTGATAAATCTTTCAATTTGGTTCTTTTTCCCAGTACTAACCCCATTTCCTTTCTTTCTTTTTTTTTTTTTTTTTTTTATACATTAATAATTTAATTATTCTTTGTTAAATATCTAAAAAGAGGATTTTTTGAAAGGATGTTTGTGATTTATACCTTTTAGAGAAAAGGTGTAATCTCGATCCAATTTTCATTTGTATCACATCTATAAATTCCTTTCTCAAATTTGGTTAATTCTCCCACGATAATTATGCGTTATTGAATAGTGTGACATGCTTTCATTCCTTGTGAATTTACATAGCATACAATATGTTTGTTGGTGGAACATGACTTTCTCTTTCTCAATATTTTTTTTTTTTTTTTTAAAGAATTCTTTGTGAATAATATGATCCATAACAATCGTGAATCAAAAGTGGGTTAAAAACTCATACAAGAAAATTTGAATATGAGTAATCAACCATTTTTATTTTATTTTATTTTATTTTTTTTTATATAAATATGTGTGTAAAAGACAAAACTTTCTAAATATTTGAGTTTACATTTGCAAAATTTCAATAGTTTATTTTAATATTTATATTACTACTATTTAATGTATTTTATAAAGTTAACTTTCCCATACCTTTAACCATAACATAAATTAAAAGATAACGTTCCCAGTAGATTTCTAAACTACGGTCAATACTGTATTTACATTTAAAGAATGTCATCAGAACACACGAATAATAAAAAAAATTATTCAATGATGTACCAATAACTTTTTTTTGGTTTTGATTTTTTTTTTTTTTTTATAAATGATAATCTTTAGCAATTTTGATTTAAGATAACCCTTCTTCATTTGTTAGCAAAACGGACGGGGAAATTTTATTTTATGTAGAACCATCTTGATGCTCTTGATAACTTTTTGAAATAGGGGATATCTTGATGTTATTATGACTTTCTCTCAGGAAAAAGAAATGGTTTATGTAAGTGTGTGAAATTTTTCCGTAACCTGCTGTTACCAAGTAGGATCGTTAAAATGCGAGATTACAAAAAAACGAAATATAAAATTTTTATTTTTATCAAAAAAACGGGGTGTAGGGGGGATCAAATAAGAGAACATTCACTTTATTTCTTCTATGGCATTCAAACGTTTCTTAACTGGTATTATCTTTGTTGCGATGAACTATTACTAAGGTTACTGGACGGTTTACTTTGCTAACTTGCACAGCAAAATACCCGTGAGAGTGTTTTCTGTGGGGAGGGGACATTCTTTTTTCGTGGTTTATATAATGATGAAGGAAAAAAAAAAAAAATTTCGGAACGATCTAATTCAACATTCATACATTCAAAAATGAATATCAATGACGAAAATTTACCAAAAAAAGACTTGTTTCCTTAAGATACTTGCAGTTTTACTTTATTACACTGCTTATCAATAAAGAAAGAAAAAAATTTCAAAAAGATTTCCGGAGAAAAGAAATATAAATAGATTTTTTTTTAACGGAGTGAAATTGAAATTCAACATTTTAGCTTTTGTAAACTAACCAAAAAAAAATTATTCATTTAGTAAAAATAATGCACATTTCGCTCTTTCATTACTTTCCTTTTTTAGTAACCAAAATGCAAATGGAAATGTCCGGGGTATATAGTACAAAAGAAAACCCACATCATCATAAAAGGGCTAGAATAGGATAACTTGTTAGAAAAAAAGGATCAAAAAAAATGTTTTTGAGGTTAGCCGTTTTTCCGGAAAATCATTTCCACTAAATATTTATCGTTATCGTTCATTTATAATTATTCAAAAAATAACGCATTGATGCATAACAAACTTACTGTTACATCTTTCCTTTTTTTTTTTTAACATATAACCATTTAGCTTTTTAACGACACCTTTTTTGTGGTATTCGTTTATGGCGAAGATTTAAAATTAGCTCTCGTGTCAATGTTATTTACAAAATCTGGTATAAATTCAAGAATAATATATCTTTGTTTACAAGTCACATTTAAAAGCCACATTTATGTGTAAAAATAAAAAAACGTGACTAGTCTATTAAAGAATTACATTGAAAAAACTCTTAAGTATCAAAGAAAAGCTAGACTTCTAGTGAAAGAAATCGGTGCAAAGACTTAATAATGGGATAATAATAAAAGGGTGGATAAAAGTTGATGAAACCACTAACAATATCACAAAGTATGTTGTAAAAGAAATCAAAGCATTATGTTGTAAAGAACAATTCCGAAAGAAATACCGGAAACCGAATATAATAAAGGAGCATTTCGCTTTCAATACTTTAAGAGCACGAACGGACCTACGAAAGTCATCGAAGTCATTGAGCATCCAACTATGAAAGAATATAAAATTATGTAACAGAGAAGGAATACCCTAATCATTTGGTGAGTTTGACATCGTTGTTAGTTTGGAATAAATGCAAAGAAAAATTTTTAAATTTTAGACAACTAATTTCTTTGAAAAGTATTTTATTTAATCAGATAAAAATCCAGTTATGATATTAATTTATTCCGACTTATAAATCGTCCGTAACCTTAGAATATTGTTTACAATAGAATCAATGAGTAAATATCATTCCTATTGATTTATTAATAGCCATGGATTCAAGTGTATGATTATGCATTTGATGATGATTTAGAAGATGATACCCATTTAAGTCGTTCAAAGATCACAGTTCAGTCTTTAATCTTTGAGATGTACCATGAGACGGTCAATTCAGATAAAATGGTAACTTTATTTTGGTCGTTTTGTTGATATTACGTTGAAACATTGTAAAAAAAAATAGTGATTGTTGATAAAGAGAGGTGGGAAAATGAACTTCAGCTTGATGTCATTACATTTATTTTTCTCTTTCATATCATTAATAAAATTTGAAAGTATCTAGAGCCTCATTTGATTATGCTACATGGGAAATCCTAAAAATCTAAAATAGAAGCTTATATTGCCTTGAATCAAGAGAATTTTGATAAAATTAAGTCCTATATACAGTCAAAGCTCGTTATAGTGAACTCTCGACTCCAGTCACTTTTGTTCACAATAATGAGATTTGATTTAAGAGCTCACTATATCGAACGAAATTTATTATAAAAAATAAATAGACAAATAAATTTTATTCATTATAACGGTAAATTTACTTAATATAAAGGCAATATGACGTACAAAATAATTTCTCAAGGTATTTCTCGTGGCGGATGATGAAGATGAAAATGTGAAGAATGCAAAAGCTTGTTTGTTATTCCTGTTTTATAAGAACTTAAATAAAATCATGAAATAAATTAAACGTTGGATAAATAATAGTTTATTTGGATAATATATATAGATACAGTTTATCGGTGAGAGATTTCAGTAAGATGCGATTCAATACATATTTATGAGATTTTCTCTTTACCATTATAAAAAAATAGAAATACAGTATAAGAAAAAAGAACTTTCGCGTACAACAGGATATTGTTGAGAAATTTTACTATTACGATTACTATTTAATATCAACGAAAGTTTTATAGTTGAAATTGCGTTTGAGGGTTATTTGTGATATTATTCACGGAAGTATAAGAGGTATTATTCATGTTTAAATTTTCAAAATCAGGTATGACGAGAATTTTGAAACCAGGAATGTGAAATCTGAAGATTTCTGGATTATTTGATTGAGAATTAGCGTTAAACAAAGAGTTATTATTGGTGTTCAATGGTGGAGTTTGTTCCTCATTAGTAGGACCGATATGCTGTCTATACGACGTTGGAACATTAGAGCTGAACAAGATATCATTGTAAGGTACTGCATCAATCATAGCATTAATATTTGATGGAAACTGAGTGTTTTGGACGACAGTTGGTGGATAAAAAGTCTTTTATTTGGAGGTTTTGAACGACAGCTGATGGATAGAAATAACTGTTATTTAATGGAATATTTTCCATTTGAACGACATCTGGCAAATTAAAATTGGTTTTAAATCCAGCAAAGTTGGACCTTTGGAAATTAAGGTCATTCTGTGAAGGATGATTATTTTGTTCCATAGTCTTATTTGAAAAAGTGGGTTGGAAACTTTCTTTTTATTTATATAAAGATTTAAGGAAGTACCGAAATTTATGACGTAAGTGAAGATGACCCGATCTGTCATGCATAAAATTTAAAAAGTTTTTTTTTTTTATTACATCGATCGGAAATATGGGTTAGTTTTAATAATAACTCTAATCACGGAGGAACAATTGAATTCAGCTGATTAGGAAATTGTTATTTGTTAATGTTACCATCGCTTATCTGATTCATTTTGATTTTTTACCAAATTTCATATTATAAATTATATATAATAATAAAAAATAAATGATGTTTTCTAGGAAAATCAATCTGAAATTAATTATTTATCTGATGTTCCCAGTTAGGGAGGTATCTATCATAAATTTTAACACAAATTAGGTTCGGACACGATGATTATCAAAAAAAAAAAATTGTTTGGCACGAAAATAAAAAACAATACGTAATTTAATATTTCTTGTTTTAAATAATTATTATTCTTTAAAATAAAGTAAAGAAAAATCCATTAAACACTTAGACTCGTTCAGGAGAAGAGACCAAGGTGATACTTTCAATACGATATAAAATATTAAAGACTATCGCGTATGATAGGTAAAAAAAAAAAAAAAAAAAAAAAAAAAAACACGAAATTTATTTCGCTTTTAAAAAAAATATTCTACAAAAAAAGCTTTGAAAGTTTTTTTTTTGTGCACATAGGTATTTTTGTTTTTCTTTAATTTTATTATTATAAAAATAATTTAATTTCATTCAGGTTAAAAGGTTATGTGTTTCGGTAAAACTTTTGAACTCACATTCAGTGTCACCTCTAAGACCTCTACTATAACTAATTATTCCGGTACACAGCCGGCTACTACAATTCGTCAATGAAAATCAGGTTCTCAACAAAATAAATAACCAAATACAAAAGGATAACCTTCAACTTCCATAATGCAAATTGAACTCAAAAGATAATCTGATCTACACTGGATGCGAGAACCTTATGATGCATAGTAGTATACTCATTATGAGAAAAAAGCCATATGATCAGATCGAGTACTAGAACCCGCATCCATTTGCATTGAAAACAAAATCGATTATTCTTTCATTGATTAACTTATTAATATCATGATGTCATGATAATAATAAAAAATAACATACAGTAGTTTAATTGAGAAGGTGTATATTTTCAATGTCGAATGGCGCAGTTAAAACCCCCAAGTTACGCAAAATGATTGTTTTTAATAATACATTATGTCGTCCATATTTATTGTAATAATAATTTATTTGCATGTTACAAGTTTGTATCTTTGAATGATACTACATTACAAAACGAGCCATATCATTACTTTGTAATCTTATTTATCTATCTATAAGAACATTAAAAAGAACGTTACGTTTTATCATAAAATAAACCACCTAAAAATAGAAGTAATATTTCAAAAGTGCGACAGTATATATTACGTAAGGAATATTAAATTGAAATCAATTAAAGTTCTGTGATTCTTCCACACATTCCTTTTTACTTTCTAGAACAAAGTTTTGCTAATTTTAAATAATTACCCATTTATATTTTCTATAAAAATGGACAA